TAGCGAGTAGCAGCAGCAACAGCTCCTATGAAGGCTTTAATCCGTGCGTGTCGTTGTCTGTGTCCGTGCGTGTCGTGTGTGTCTGTGCGTGTCGTCTGTGTCTGTGCGAGTCAACGTCTGTGTGTGTCGTCTCTGTGTCTCTTTGTGTGTCTGTGCGTGTTGTTGTCTGTGTCTCTGTGCGTGTGTTTCTGTGTCTCTGTCTCTGTGTCGTGTGTCTCTGTGCGTGTCGTCTGTGTGCGTGTCGCGGTGTCTGTGTGTGTGTGTCTGTGTGTGTGTCTGTGTGTGTGTCTGTGTGTGTGTCTGTGTGTGTCTCTGTGTGTGTGTGTGTGTGTCTGTGTGTGTGTCTGTGTGTGTGTGTCTGTGTGTGTCTGTGTGTGTCTGTGTGTCTCTGTGTGTCTGTGTGTGTCTGTGTGTCTGTGTGTGTGTCTGTGTGTGTCTCTGTGTGTGTCTGTGTGTGTGTGTCTGTGTGCGTGTCTGTGTGTGTCTGTGTGTCTCTGTGTGTGTGTCTGTGTGTGTCTGTGTGTGTCTGTGTGTGTCTGTGTGTGTCTGTGTGTGTGTCTGTGTCTGTGTCTCTGTGTGTGTCTGTGTGTGTGTGTGTCTGTGTGTGTCTGTGTGTGTGTCTGTGTGTCTCTGTGTGTGTCTGTGTGTCTCTGTGTGTGTGTCTGTGTGTGTCTGTGTGTGTCTGTGTGCGTGTCGTGGTGTCTCAGCTCCGCTGGAGGCGCTCACGTGGGGCGAGAACACGAACTTCACACTTGGACATGGACAGCTGACGCGTGTCCTGTCCCCTGTCCCTGTGTCCCTGCCAGCGGGGATCTCCGTCGTGCAGGTCAGTGTCTGTCTCCTGTGTGTGTCTCCAGTGTCTGTCTCCAGTGTCTGTCTCCAGTGTGTGTCTCTCTCTGTGTGTGTGTCACTGTGTGTGTGTCTCACTGTGTGTGTGTCTCACTGTGTGTGTGTCTCTGTGTGTGTGTCTCTGTGTGTGTGTCTCTGTGTCTCTCTCTCTGTGTGTATCACTGTGTGTGTCTCCCAGTGTCTATCTCCCAGTGTCCCACTATCTGTCTCCTCGGTGTGTTTCTCTCTCTCTGTGTCACTGTGTGTGTCTCTGTGTGTGTCTCTGTGTGTGTCTCAATGCGTGTGTCTCAATGCGTGTGTCTCTCTGCGTGTGTCTCTCTGTCTCTGTGTCTCTGCGTGTGTCTCTGTGTGTGTCTCTGTGTGTGTCTCTGTGTGTGTCTCAATGCGTGTGTCTCTCTGCGTGTGTCTCTCTGTCTCTGTGTCTCTGCGTGTGTCTCTTCGTGTGTCTCTCTGTCTCTGTGTCTCTGCGTTTGTCTCTTTCTGTGTGTGTCTCACTGTGTGTGTGTCTCTGTGTGTGTCTCTCCGTGTCTCTGTGTGTCTCTGCGTGTCTCTCTGCGTGTGTCTCTGTGTGTCTCACTGTCTCTCTCTCTCTGTGTCTCCCAGTGTCTGTCTCCAGTGTCTGTCTCCCAGCGTCTGTCTCTGTCTGTCTCCCAGTGTCTGTCTCCCAGTGTCTGTCTCCAGTGTCTGTCTCCCAGTATCTGTCTCTGTCTGTCTCCCAGTGTCTGTCTCTGTCTGTCTCCCAGTGTCTGTCTCCCAGTGTCTGTCTCCAGTGTCTGTCTCCCAGTATCTGTCTCTGTCTGTCTCCCAGTGTCTGTCTCTGTCTGTCTCCCAGTGTCTGTCTCCCAGTGTCTGTCTCCAGCGTCTGTCTCTGTCTGTCTCCCAGTGTCTGTCTCCCAGTGTGTGTCTCCCAGCGTCTGTCTCTCTGTGTGTATCACTGTGTGTGTCTCCCAGTGTCTGTCTCCCAGTGTGTGTCTCCCAGCGTCTGTCTCTCTGTGTGTATCACTGTGTGTGTCTCCCAGTGTCTGTCTCCCAGTGTATCACTGTGTGTGTCTCTCTCTCTGTGTGTATCACTGTGTGTGTGTCTCTGTGTGTGTCTCTGTGTGTGTGTCTCTGTGTGTGTCGCTGTGTGTGTGTCTCTGTGTGTGTCTCTGTGTGTGTCTCTCTGTGTGTGTCTGTGTGTGTCTCTGTGTGTGTGTCTGTGTGTGTGTCTCTGTGTGTGTCTCTGTGTGTGTCTCTCTGTGTGTGTCTCTGTGTGTGTCTCTGTGTGTGTGTCTCTGTGTGTGTCTCTGTGTGTGTCTCTGTGTGTGTCTCTGTGTGTGTCTGTGTGTGTGTCTCTGTGTGTGTCTCTGTGTGTGTCTCTGTGTGTGTCTCTGTGTGTGTCTCTGTGTGTGTCTCTGTGTGTGTGTCTCTGTGTGTGTCTCTGTGTGTGTCTCTCTGTGTGTGTCTCTGTGTGTGTGTCTCTGTGTGTGTCTCTGTGTGTGTGTCTCTGTGTGTGTCTCTGTGTGTGTCTCTGTGTGTGTCTCTGTGTGTGTGTCTCTGTGTGTGTCTCTGTGTGTGTATCACTGTGTGTGTGTCTCTGTGTGTGTATCACTGTGTGTGTCTCTCTCTCTCTGTGTGTATCACTGTGTGTGTGTCTCTGTGTGTGTCTCTGTGTGTGTCTCTGTGTGTGTATCACTGTGTGTGTGTCTCTGTGTCTCTCGCTCTGTGTGTATCACTGTGTGTGTGTCTCTGTGTGTATCACTGTGTGTGTGTCCTCTGTGTGTGTATCACTGTGTGTGTGTCTCTGTGTGTGTCTCTGTGTGTGTGTCTCTGTGTGTGTCTGTGTGTGTGTCTCTGTGTGTGTCTCTGTGTGTGTCTCTCTGTGTGTGTGTCTGTGTGTGTCTCTCTGTGTGTGTCTCTGTGTGTGTGTCTGTGTGTGTGTCTCTGTGTGTGTCTCTGTGTGTGTGTCTGTGTGTGTGTCTCCGCGTGTGTTCCAGGTGGAGCTCTGCGACTTCCACTCGGTGCTGCTGACGCGCTGCGGGCGCGTGTTCACCTGCGGACACGGACGCGGAGGCCGACTCGGACACGGAGACGAGGAGGCGTGTGTGGTGAGACACACAGAGACACACAGAGACACACAGAGAGACACACAGAGAGACACACACAGTGAGACACACACAGTGAGACACACAGAGACACACACAGAGAGACACACAGAGACACACACAGTGAGACACACACAGTGAGACACACGCAGTGAGACACACAGTGAGACACACACAGTGAGACACACACACAGTGAGACACACAGAGACACACACAGTGAGACACACACAGAGAGACACACACAGAGACACACAGTGAGACACACAGAGACACACACAGTGAGACACACACAGTGAGACACACAGAGACACACACAGAGAGACACACAGAGAGACACACACAGTGAGACACACACAGTGAGACACACAGAGACACACACAGAGAGACACACAGAGACACACACAGTGAGACACACACAGTGAGACACGCAGTGAGACACACAGTGAGACACACACAGTGAGACACACGCAGAGAGACACACACAGTGAGACACACACAGTGAGACACACGCAGTGAGACACACACAGTGAGACACACACAGTGAGACACACACAGTGAGACACACGCAGTGAGACACACGCAGTGAGACACACACAGTGAGACACACGCAGTGAGACACACACAGTGAGACACACACAGTGAGACACACACAGTGAGACACACGCAGTGAGACACACACAGTGAGACACACACACAGTGAGACACACACAGTGAGACACACGCAGTGAGACACACACAGTGAGACACACACAGAGACACACGCAGTGAGACACACAGAGACACACACAAAGAGACACACAGTGAGACACACAGTGAGACACACACAGTGAGACACACAGAGACACACACAGAGACACACACAGTGAGACACACACAGAGAGACACACACAGAGACACACACAGAGACACACAGTGAGACACACGCAGTGAGACACACGCAGTGAGACACACGCAGTGAGACACACGCAGTGAGACACACGCAGTGAGACACACACAGTGAGACACACACAGTGAGACACACAGAGACACACAGAGACACACAGTGACACACACAGTGAGACACACACAGTGAGACACACAGAGACACACAGAGACACACAGTGAGACACACACAGAGAGACACACACAGTGAGACACACACACAGAGAGACACACACAGAGAGACACACACAGTGAGACACACACAGTGAGACACACACAGTGAGACACACAGTGAGACACACGCAGTGAGACACACACAGTGAGACGCACACACAGTGACACACACAGTGACACACACAGTGAGACACACAGTGAGACACACACAGTGAGACACACAGAGAGAGACACACAGAGACACACACACAGAGACACACACAGTGAGACACACAGAGACACACAGTGAGACACACACAGTGAGACACACACAGTGAGACACACACAGTGAGACACACACAGAGACACACAGTGAGACACACACAGAGAGACACACACAGAGAGACACACAGAGAGACACACACAGAGAGACACGCACAGAGAGACACACAGAGACACACACAGAGAGACACACACAGTGAGACACACACAGTGAGACACACAGAGACACACACAGAGACACACACAGTGAGACACACAGTGAGACACACAGTGAGACACACAGAGACACACACACAGAGAGACACACACAGTGAGACACACACAGTGAGACACACACAGTGAGACACACAGAGACACACACAGTGAGACACACACAGTGAGACACACAGAGACACACACAGTGAGACACACACAGAGAGATACACACAGTGAGACACACACAGTGAGACACACACAGTGAGACACACAGAGACACACACAGAGACACACACAGAGAGACACACACAGAGACACACACAGAGACACACACAGAGACACACACAGTGAGACACACGCAGTGAGACACACGCAGTGAGACACACGCAGTGAGACACACGCAGTGAGACACACGCAGTGAGACACACACAGTGAGACACACACAGTGAGACACACGCAGTGAGACACACACAGTGAGACACACACAGTGAGACACACACAGTGAGACACACACAGTGAGACACAGTGAGACACACACAGTGAGACACACGCAGTGAGACACACACAGTGAGACACACACAGTGAGACACAGTGAGACACACACAGTGAGACACACGCAGTGAGACACACGCAGTGAGACACACACAGTGAGACACACACAGTGAGACACACACAGTGAGACACAGTGAGACACACACAGTGAGACACACGCAGTGAGACACACGCAGTGAGACACAGTGAGACACACGCAGTGAGACACACGCAGTGAGACACACGCAGTGAGACACACACAGTGAGACACACACAGTGAGACACACACAGTGAGACACACACAGTGAGACACAGTGAGACACACGCAGTGAGACACACACAGTGAGACACACGCAGTGAGACGCACACACAGTGAGACACACAGTGAGACACACAGTGACACACACAGTGAGACACACGCAGTGAGACACACGCAGTGAGACACACACAGTGACACACGCAGTGAGACACACGCAGTGAGACACACACAGTGACACACACAGTGAGACACACACAGTGAGACACACAGTGACACACACAGTGAGACACACGCAGTGAGACACACACAGTGACACACACACGCAGTGAGACACAGTGAGACACACAGTGACACACACAGTGAGACACACACAGTGAGACACACAGTGACACACGCAGTGAGACACACGCAGTGAGACACACACAGTGACACACACACGCAGTGAGACACAGTGAGACACACAGTGACACACACAGTGAGACACACGCAGTGAGACACACGCAGTGAGACACACGCAGTGAGACACACACAGTGAGACACACGCAGTGAGACACACAGAGACACACGCAGTGAGACACACGCAGTGAGACACACGCAGTGAGACACACACAGTGAGACACACACAGTGAGACACACACAGTGAGACACACGCAGTGAGACACACACAGTGACACACGCAGTGAGACACACACAGTGAGACACACACAGTGAGACACACACAGTGAGACACACACAGTGAGACACACGCAGTGAGACACACGCAGTGAGACACACGCAGTGAGACACGCAGTGAGACACGCAGTGAGACACACGCAGTGAGACGCACACACAGTGAGACACACGCAGTGAGACACACGCAGTGAGACACGCAGTGACACACACAGAGAGACACACGCAGTGAGACGCACACACAGTGAGACGCACACACAGTGACACACACAGTGACACACACAGAGAGACACACGCAGTGAGACACACACACAGTGAGACACACGCAGAGACACACACACAGTGAGACACACACAGTGAGACACACACACAGTGAGACACACACACAGTGAGACACACACAGTGAGACACACACAGTGAGACACACACAGTGACACACGCAGTGACACACACACAGTGAGACACACACAGTGAGACACACACAGTGAGACACACGCAGTGAGACACACACAGTGAGACACACACAGTGAGACACTCACACAGTGAGACACACACACAGTGAGACACACAGTGAAACACACAGTGAGACACACACACAGTGAGACACACACACAGTGAGACACACACACAGTGAGACACACACAGTGAGACACACGCAGTGAGACACACACACAGTGAGACACACACAGTGAGACACTCACACAGTGAGACACACACACAGTGAGACACACAGTGAAACACACAGTGAGACACACACACAGTGAGACACACACACAGTGAGACACACACACAGTGAGACACACACAGTGAGACACACACAGTGAGACACACACAGTGAGACACCGCAGAGATGATGGTCATCTCAGTAAGCCGACCCACGGCACCTGCAGGGTCTGTCCCGTGACCTCCTCCTCCTGCACCTAGCCTGGCACAGCAGTCAACCCATGGCACCTGCAGGGTCTGTCCCGTCACCTCCTCCTGCACCTAGCCTGGCACAGCAGTCAACCCATGGCACCTGCTGGGTCTGTCTCGTGACCTCCTGCACCTAGCCTGGCACAGCAGTCAACCCATGGCACCTGCTGGGTCTGTCACGTGACCTCCTCCTGCCAACGGAGAGCCTTCGACACTTCACGTGGTAGCCTCAAAGTGCACCTAGCCTGGCACAGGCGTTATGGTGCATGGCGGCTGTTGGTATTGGCAGGTGCCCAGGCAGTTGGTGTCTTTACTACCGTGTCTACTAGCATGCCTCTGTGTCTCACTGTGTCTCTGTGTGTCTACTAGCGTGTCTCTGTGTCGCACTGTGTCTCTGTGTGTCTACTAGCGTGTTTCTGTGTCGCACTGTGTCTCTGTGTGTCTACTAGCATGTCTCTGTGTCTCACTGTGTCTGTGTGTCTACTAGCGTGTCTGTGTGTGTCTCTGTGTGTCTCTGTGTGTCTACTAGCATGTCTCTGTGTCTCACTTTGTCTCTGTGTCTACTAGCATGTCTCTGTGTCTCACTGTGTCTCTGTGTCTACTAGCGTGTCTGTGTGTGTCTCTGTGTGTCTCCATGTCTACTACCGTTCTCTGTGTGTCTCAGTGTGTCTCTGTGTCTGCGTGTCTCTGTGTCTCCGTGTCTATTACCGTGTTTTCGTGTCTGTGTGTCTCTGTATGTCTCCATGTCTCTGTGTGTCTCCGTGTCTACTACCGTGTCTCAGTGTGTCTCTGTGTGTGTCTCTGTGTGTGTCTCTGTGTGTCTGTCCCACTGTGTCTCTCTGTGTGTCTCTGTGTCTCAGTGTGTCTCTCTCTGTGTCTCTGTGTGTGTCTCTGTGTGTGTCTCTCTGTGTGTCTCTGCATGTCTCTCTCTGTGTATCTGTGTGTGTCTCTGCATGTCTCTCTGTGTGTCTCTGTGTGTGTCTCTGTGTCTCTGTGTGTGTAGGTGCCCAGGCAGGTGGTGTCTCTGCCGGCGTGCGTCTCCGTGTCTGCGGCGCGTGACCACACGCTCTGCCTCGCCGCCTCTGGCCTGGCGTTTGCCTTCGGTCTCAACGAGTTCGGGCAACTCGGCGTGCGAGGAGCCACCGGCACCACCACCACCACCGGCACTACCACCACCACCGCCGGTAGTAGCGGAGGAGGGTGGGGTGGTGTGTGCAGCTCACCGCAGCAGGTGAGAGGAGCCGCTAACAGAGTGTAGGGGCAAGTGCTGTTAGTAGTAGCGAGTAGCTACATACACAAAGACTCCCCCGTGTAGCCTTTCACTGAGCAGTTGCCCTTGCAGGCTGTTAGAGGCTACACGGGGGATCTTTGTGTAGATAGCGACTTCTAACAGCACTTGCCCCTCCACTCTGTTAGAGGCTACACGGGGGATCTTTGTCTGTGTAGGTAGCTACTACTAACAGCACTTGCCCCTACACTCTGTCAAGGCTACACGGGGGATCTTTGTCTGTGTAGGTAGCTACTACTAACAGCACTTGCCCCTACACTCTGTTGAGGCTACGCGGGGGATCTTTGTCTGTGCCAGGTTCACCTGCCGTGCCGGCCTCCCCAGCGGGTGCTCGGTGTAGCGGCAGGTCCCACCCACAGCCTCCTCTACACACACAGCGGCCTCTACAGCTGCGGACTCAACAGCGGGCAGCTCGGTGAGCCGGCCCACGCACAGTGTGTACCATACACAGTGTGCACCATACACAGTGTACACCGTGTACAACGTGCATGGTGTGCGTGGTTTACATGCATGTTGTACATGGTGTGTGTGGTGTGCATGATGTAAACCCCATGGTGTGCATAGTGTAGGCCTTGCCTAGTTGACAATTCTAGGCCTTGCCTAATTGACAAGTCTAGGCCTTGCCTAGTTGACAAGCCTAGGCCTTGCCTAGTTGACAATTCTAGGCCTTGCCTAATTGACAAGTCTAGGCCTTGCCTAGTTGACAAGTCTAGGCCTTGCCTAGTTGACAAGTCTAGGCCTTGCCTAGTTGACAAGTCTAGGCCTTGCCTAGTTGACAAGCCTAGGCCTTGCCTAGTTGACAAGCCTAGGCCTTGCCTAGTTGACAAGCCTAGGCCTTGCCTAATTGACAAGTCTAGGCCTTGCCTAGTTGACAAGTCTAGGCCTTGCCTAGTTGACAAGTCTAGGCCTTGCCTAGTTGACAAGCCTAGGCCTTGCCTAGTTGACAAGCCTAGGCCTTGCCTAATTGACAAGTCTAGGCCTTGCCTAGTTGACAAGCCTAGGCCTTGCCTAATTGACAAGTCTAGGCCTTGCCTAGTTGACAAGCCTAGGCCTTGCCTAGTTGACAAGCCTAGGCCTTGCCTAGTTGACAAGCCTAGGCCTTGCCTAATTGACAAGTCTAGGCCTTGCCTAGTTGACAAGCCTAGGCCTTGCCTAGTTGACAAGCCTAGGCCTTGCCTAGTTGACAAGCCTAGGCCTTGCCTAGTTGACAAGTCTAGGCCTTGCCTAGTTGACAAGCCTAGGCCTTGCCTAGTTGACAAGTCTAGGCCTTGCCTAGTTGACAAGTCTAGGCCTTGCCTAGTTGACAAGCCTAGGCCTTGCCTAGTTGACAAGCCTAGGCCTTGCCTAGTTGACAAGCCTAGGCCTTGCCTAATTGACAAGTCTAGGCCTTGCCTAGTTGACAAGTCTAGGCCTTGCCTAGTTGACAAGTCTAGGCCTTGCCTAGTTGACAAGCCTAGGCCTTGCCTAGTTGACAAGCCTAGGCCTTGCCTAGTTGACAAGCCTAGGCCTTGCCTAGTTGACAAGCCTAGGCCTTGCCTAGTTGACAAGTCTAGGCCTTGCCTAGTTGACAAGCCTAGGCCTTGCCTAGTTGACAAGTCTAGGCCTTGCCTAGTTGACAAGTCTAGGCCTTGCCTAGTTGACAAGCCTAGGCCTTGCCTAGTTGACAAGCCTAGGCCTTGCCTAGTTGACAAGTCTAGGCCTTGCCTAATTGACAAGTCTAGGCCTTGCCTAATTGACAAGCCTAGGCCTTGCCTAATTGACAAGTCTAGGCCTTGCCTCATTGACAAGCCTAGGCCTTGCCTAGTTGACAAGTCTAGGCCTTGCCTAATTGACAAGCCTAGGCCTTGCCTAATTGACAAGCCTAGGCCTTGCCTAATTGACAAGTCTAGGCCTTGCCTAGTTGACAAGCCTAGGCCTTGCCTAGTTGACAAGCCTAGGCCTTGTCTAATTGACAAGCCTAGGCCTTGCCTAGTTGACAAGCCTAGGCCTTGCCTAGTTGACAAGCCTAGGCCTTGTCTAATTGACAAGCCTAGGCCTTGCCTAGTTGACAAGTCTAGGCCTTGCCTAGTTGACAAGTCTAGGCCTTGCCTAGTTGACAAGCCTAGGCCTTGCCTAGTTGACAAGCCTAGGCCTTGCCTAGTTGACAAGCCTAGGCCTTGCCTAATTGACAAGTCTAGGCCTTGCCTAGTTGACAAGCCTAGGCCTTGCCTAGTTGACAAGCCTAGGCCTTGCCTAGTTGACAAGCCTAGGCCTTGCCTAGTTGACAAGTCTAGGCCTTGCCTAGTTGACAAGCCTAGGCCTTGCCTAGTTGACAAGTCTAGGCCTTGCCTAGTTGACAAGTCTAGGCCTTGCCTAGTTGACAAGCCTAGGCCTTGCCTAGTTGACAAGTCTAGGCCTTGCCTAATTGACAAGTCTAGGCCTTGCCTAATTGACAAGCCTAGGCCTTGCCTAATTGACAAGTCTAGGCCTTGCCTCATTGACAAGCCTAGGCCTTGCCTAGTTGACAAGTCTAGGCCTTGCCTAATTGACAAGCCTAGGCCTTGCCTAATTGACAAGCCTAGGCCTTGCCTAATTGACAAGTCTAGGCCTTGCCTAGTTGACAAGCCTAGGCCTTGCCTAGTTGACAAGCCTAGGCCTTGTCTAATTGACAAGCCTAGGCCTTGCCTAGTTGACAAGCCTAGGCCTTGCCTAGTTGACAAGCCTAGGCCTTGTCTAATTGACAAGCCTAGGCCTTGCCTAGTTGACAAGTCTAGGCCTTGCCTAATTGACAAGTCTAGGCCTTGCCTAATTGACAAGCCTAGGCCTTGCCTAATTGACAAGCCTAGGCCTTGCCTAATTGACAAGTCTAGGCCTTGCCTAATTGACAATTCTAGGCCTTGCCTAATTGACAAGCCTAGGCCTTGCCTAATTGACAAGTCTAGGCCTTGCCTAATTGACAAGCCTAGGCCTTGTCTAATGGACAAGCCTAGGCCTTGTCTAATTGACAAGCCTAGGCCTTGTCTAATTGACAAGCCTAGGCCTTGCCTAATTGACAAGTCTAGGCCTTGTCTAATTGACAAGCCTAGGCCTTGTCTAATTGACAAGCCTAGGCCTTGCCTAATTGACAAGCCTAGGCCTTGCCTAATTGACAAGTCTAGGCCTTGCCTAATTGACAATTCTAGGCCTTGCCTAATTGACAAGCCTAGGCCTTGCCTAATTGACAAGTCTAGGCCTTGCCTAATTGACAAGCCTAGGCCTTGTCTAATGGACAAGCCTAGGCCTTGCCTAATTGACAAGTCTAGGCCTTGCCTAATTGACAATTCTAGGCCTTGCCTAATTGACAAGTCTAGGCTTTGCCTAGTTAACAAGTCTAGGCCTTGCCTAATTGACAAGTCTAGGCCTTGCCTAATTGACAATTCTAGGCCTTGCCTAATGGACAAGCCTAGGCCTTGCCTAGTTAACAAGTCTAGGCCTTGCCTAATTGACAAGTCTAGGCCTTGCCTAGTTAACAAGCCTAGGCCTTGCCTAATTGACAAGTCTAGGCCTTGCCTAATTGACAAGCCTAGGCCTTGCCTAGTTAACAAGTCTAGGCCTTGCCTAATTGACAAGTCTAGGCCTTGCCTAGTTAACAAGCCTAGGCCTTGCCTAATTGACAAGCCTAGGCCTTGCCTAGTTGACAAGCCTAGGCCTTGCCTAATTGACAAGTCTAGGCCTTGCCTAGTTAACAAGTCTAGGCCTTGCCTAATTGACAAGTCTAGGCCTTGCCTAGTTAACAAGTCTAGGCCTTGCCTAATTGACAAGTCTAGGCCTTGCCTAGTTAACAAGTCTAGGCCTTGCCTAATTGACAAGTCTAGGCCTTGCCTAGTTAACAAGCCTAGGCCTTGCCTAATTGACAAGCCTAGGCCTTGCCTAGTTGACAAGCCTAGGCCTTGCCTAATTGACGAGTCTAGGCCTTGTCTAATGGACAAGCCTAGGCCTTGCCTAATTGACAAGCCTAGGCCTTGCCTAATTGACAATTCTAGGCCTTGCCTAATTGACAAGCCTAGGCCTTGCCTAATTGACAAGCCTAGGCCTTGCCTAATTGACAAGCCTAGGCCTTGCCTAATAGACAATTCTAGGCCTTGCCTAATAGACAAGCCTAGGCCTTGTCTAATTGACAAGCCTAGGCCTTGTCTAATGGACAAGTCTAGGCCTTGCCAAATGGACAAGTCTAGGCCTTGCCTAATTGACAAGCCTAGGCCTTGCCTAATTGACAAGCCTAGGCCTTGCCTAATGGACAAGTCTAGGCCTTGCCTAATTGACAAGCCTATGCCTTGCCTAATGGACAAGTCTAGGCCTTGCCTAGTTGACAAGCCTAGGCCTTGCCTAATTGACAAGCCTAGGCCTTGCCTAATTGACAAGCCTAGGTCTTGCCTAATTGACAAGCCTAGGCCTTGCCAAATTGACAAGCCTAGGCCTTGCCTAATTGACAAGTCTAGGCCTTGCCTAATGGACAAGTCTAGGCCTTGTCTAATTGACAAGCCTAGGCCTTGCCTAATGTACAAGTCTAGGCCTTGCCTAATTGACAAGTCTAGGCCTTGCCTAGTTGACAAGTCTAGGCCTTGCCTATTTGACAAGTCTAGGCCTTGCCTAATGAACAAGCCTAGGCCTTGTCTAATTGACAAGCCTAGGCCTTGTCTAATTGACAAGCCTAGGCCTTGCCTAACGGACAAGTCTAGGCCTTGCCTAATGAACAAGCCTAGGCCTTGCCTAATTGACAAGTCTAGGCCTTGCCTAATTGACAAGCCTAGGCCTTGTCTAATTGACAAGCCTAGGCCTTGCCTAATTGACAAGTCTAGGCCTTGCCTAATTGACAAGCCTAGGCCTTGCCTAATTGACAAGTCTAGGCCTTGCCTAATTGACAAGCCTAGGCCTTGCCTAGTTGACAAGCCTAGGCCTTGCCTAATTGACAAGCCTAGGCCTTGTCTAATTGACAAGCCTAGGCCTTGTCTAATTGACAAGCCTAGGCCTTGCCTAATTGACAAGCCTAGGCCTTGTCTAATTGACAAGCCTAGGCCTTGTCTAATGGACAAGCCTAGGCCTTGCCTAATTGACGAGTCTAGGCCTTGCCTAATGGACGAGTCTAGGCCTTGCCTAATTGACGAGTCTAGGCCTTGCCTAATTGACAAGCCTAGGCCTTGCCTAATGGACAAGCCTAGGCCTTGTCTAATTGACAAGCCTAGGCCTTGTCTAATGGACAAGCCTAGGCCTTGCCTAATTGACAAGCCTAGGCCTTGCCTAATTGACAAGCCTAGGCCTTGCCTAATTGACAAGCCTAGGCCTTGCCTAATTTACAAGCCTAGGCCTTGCCTAATTGACAAGCCTAGGCCTTGCCTAATTGACAAGCCTAGGCCTTGCCTAATTGACAAGCCTAGGCCTTGCCTAATTGACAAGCCTAGGCCTTGCCTAATTGACAAGCCTAGGCCTTGCCTAATTGATGAGTCTAGGCCTTGTCTAATAGACAAGCCTAGGCCTTGCCTAATGGACAAGTCTAGGCCTTGCCTAATTGACAAGCCTAGGCCTTGTCTAATTGACAAGCCTAGGCCTTGTCTAATTGACAAGCCTAGGCCTTGCCTAATGAACAAGCCTAGGCCTTGCCTAATGTACAAGTCTAGGCCTTGCCTAATTGACAAGCCTATGCCTTGCCTAATGGACAAGTCTAGGCCTTGCCTAGTTGACAAGCCTAGGCCTTGCCTAATTGACAAGCCTAGGCCTTGCCTAATTGACGAGTCTAGGCCTTGTCTAATTGACAAGCCTATGCCTTGCCTAATGGACAAGTCTAGGCCTTGCCTAGTTGACAAGCCTAGGTCTTGCCTAATTGACAAGCCTAGGCCTTGCCTAATTGACGAGTCTAGGCCTTGTCTAATTGACAAGCCTAGGTCTTGCCTAATTGACAAGCCTAGGCCTTGCCAAATTGACAAGCCTAGGCCTTGTCTAATTGACAAGTCTAGGCCTTGTCTAATTGACAAGTCTAGGCCTTGCCTAGTTGACAAGCCTAGGCCTTGCCTAATGAACAGGCCTAGGCCTTTCCTAATGGACAAGTCTAGGCCTTGCCTAATTGACAAGCCTATGCCTTGCCTAATGGACAAGCCTAGGCCTTGTCTAATTGACAAGCCTAGGCCTTGCCTAATTGACAAGCCTAGGCCTTGTCTAATTGACAAGCCTAGGCCTTGCCTAATGGACAAGCCTAGGCCTTGTCTAATGGACAAGCCTAGGCCTTGCCTAATTGACGAGTCTAGGCCTTGTCTAATGGACAAGTCTAGGCCTTGCGTAATTGACGAGTCTAGGCCTTGCCTAATTGACAAGCCTAGGCCTTGCCTAATGGACAAGCCTAGGCCTTGCCTAATTGACAAGCCTAGGCCTTGTCTAATTGACAAGCCTAGGCCTTGTCTAATGGACAAGCCTAGGCCTTGCCTAATTGACAAGCCTAGGCCTTGTCTAATTGACAAGCCTAGGCCTTGCCTAATTGACAAGTCTAGGCCTTGCCTAATTGACAAGCCTAGGCCTTGCCTAATTGACAAGCCTAGGCCTTGCCTAATTGACAAGCCTAGGCCCTGCCTAATTGACAAGCCTAGGCCTTGCCTAATTGACAAGCCTAGGCCTTGCCTAATTGACAAGCCTAGGCCTTGCCTAGTAGACAATTCTAGGCCTTGCCTAATTGATGAGTCTAGGCCTTGTCTAATAGACAAGCCTAGGCCTTGCCTAATGGACAAGTCTAGGCCTTGCCTAATTGACAAGCCTAGGCCTTGTCTAATTGACAAGCCTAGGCCTTGTCTAATGGACAAGTCTAGGCCTTGCCAAATGGACAAGTCTAGGCCTTGCCTAATTGACAAGCCTAGACCTTGCCTAATTGACAAGCCTAGGCCTTGCCAAATGGACAAGTCTAGGCCTTGCCTAATTGACAAGCCTAGGCCTTGTCTAATTGACAAGCCTAGGCCTTGCCTAATTGACAAGCCTAGGCCTTGCCAAATGGACAAGCCTCGGCCTTGCCTAATGTACAAGTCTAGGCCTTGCCTAATTGACAAGCCAAGGCCTTGTCTAATTGACAAGCCTAGGCCTTGCCTAATGTACAAGTCTAGGCCTTGCCTAATTGACAAGCCTATGCCTTGCCTAATTGACAAGTCTAGGCCTTGCCTAATGGACAAGTCTAGGCCTTGCCTAGTTGACAAGCCTAGGCCTTGCCTAATTGACAAGCCTAGGCCTTGCCTAATTGACGAGTCTAGGCCTTGTCTAATTGACAAGCCTAGGTCTTGCCTAATTGACAAGCCTAGGCCTTGTCTAATTGACAAGTCTAGGCCTTGTCTAATTGACAAGTCTAGGCCTTGCCTAGTTGACAAGCCTAGGCCTTGCCTAATGAACAAGCCTAGGCCTTGCCTAATGAACAAGCCTAGGCCTTGCCTAATGGACAAGTCTAGGCCTTGCCTAGTTGACAAGTCTAGGCCTTGCCTAATTGACAAGCCTAGGCCTTGCCTAATGAACAAGTCTAGGCCTTAAATCTTGATTTAAAGCTTTCGTGACTGCAGGGATTCATATTATTGGTTGTTTCGGTAAAGTCATGTAGAAAGGAAATAATAAAATAATATTTATATAAAACAAAAACAAAATTGTTTTATTACTAATTGGCAAGTCTAGGCCTTGCCTAATGGACAAGCCTAGGCCTTGCCTAATTGACAAGTCTAGGCCTTGCCTAATGAACAAGTCTAACCTGTCCCCCTGCTTGTGCCTGTGCCAGGTTACCCTCCACAGCCGGGCTGCCTGGTCCAGCCTCTGCCCAAGCTGGTGACCTCTCTGCCCTGGGTGACCCCAGAGGGACAGAGGTCATCATCATCGTCGTCGTCGCCCAGGGGAGGTCGAGGCTTGTCGGCCGCCCCGCTGGTGGCGGCCTGCTCCTCCGCCAGCCTGGCGCTGACGCCCAGGGGGGAGCTGTTCCTGGTGGCGCACGGCACCAGCAGGAGGCTGGCGTCACGGTGAGCGGTGCCGTGGTGGTGGCGGTGGCGGTGGTGGCGGTGGTGATGCTGGTGCTGGTGGTGGTGGCGGCGCTGGTGGTGGTGGCGGTGGTGGTGGTGGTGGTGGTGGTGACGCTGGCGGTGGTGGTGGTGGCGGTGGTGGTGGTGGTGGTGGTGGCGGCGGTGGTGGTGGTGGTGGTGACGCTGGCGGTGGTGGTGGTGGTGGTGGTGGCGGCGGTGGTGGTGGTGGTGGTGACGCTGGTGGTGGCGGTGGTGGCGGTGTTGGTGGTGGCGGTGGCGGCGGTGGCGGCGGTGGCGACGGTGGCGGCGGTGGCGGCGGCGGCGGTGGCGGTGGTGGCGGTGGCGGTGGTTTGGTTGTAAGTGGTGATGCTGATGATAGCCATCATAACCACAACCACCACCCCA